ATTAAATAGTGTAGAATAGTTTTATTAAAAATTTGTTGATGCAGCTTGGAAAAAATTTATAAAAAAATTAAAAAAAGTACAAAAGAAGTTTATAATTGGTTTGAGGATTCTACAAATCTGTTAACATAAATTATTACTATTTATAGAGTTTAGAGTATTTTAGAGTTTCGCTGATCTTATGGGAATAAACTTATGATTTTAAAACTAAAACATTTTATGTCAACTGTATAACTTTGAGACAAGCATACATTTCCTTAAGTTAAGTCGCACATTAAAGTAAAACATGTGTAGTCTTAGCATAAATATTTGCATGTTTAATTTTTAGTACACTTCCACAAAGATTGGGAAAAATATTAAAAAAATGAATTTTGCTGAGAAAAATATTCCCTGGAAGAAAAGTGTTTTCTTTTACGTTACCTCCACTTCTGCAAAAATTATAACATTTGAATTTTAAAAAATGTTATTTTTGAAATACTTGTTCATTATGGCAACGGAATCACATTTTTTTTTTAAATTTCGTAAATGCAGAAAAAAGGGAACTTGTGTGCCAGACTGCAAAATAACGACAAAGTTTTTTTTTTCAAGTTTTAAAAATCGCTTTCATTTCCCCGCTTCAGTTGCTTGTGGATGTTATCATAAACCTTTTTAAAACTTACATAAAATATGGAGATTGTGCATTTCAATGCTTTAGATTTCGGATTTAAAAATTTTTTACAACAAAAAATTGTAATTAAATTGACAAAAAAAACAACGTGTTTTTTTTTGTCAATTTAACTAAACAAAAAATAAGGTCAAAATTCTTTTGCTGAAAACAAAAAAAAAACGCGTCTACTCATTTCAAGTTCGAACGCTTGAATAATTAATCAAAAATTACGTTATAGGCGAAAATTTTATTCAACTTTCTCCTCCCAATTTTTCTGTATTAAATTTAAATAACCTAGTTCACATTCAAATGGCTAGTCATTCATGTTATCCTCGATATCTACCATCTTTATGTTAAAGAAGCATAAAAGTCCAATATTAAAATTAAAATGAATTACAAAATACATACATATATGTATATAATTTTTCAATTTTACAATGTCAATAAGAATTTTTGAATTGTTTATAAGGAAAGTATATGTAGGTTTATTTTGATTAAAATTTATTATTCAATAATTCAACAAAGCATGATTGAATTTACTCGAATATTTTTCAATTACATATGTATTTTGTTCGCAAGGTATATTTATTTTTAGTGATATCCTTTAAGTGACTGTAGGTTATTCGAAGTAAATTCGTGGGTCAGAAAACACTAACATAATTTGGAAATCTTCTTACATATCAAAATAAATTCTTTCTTTCACATTCCTTTAGAAAATGCAATTATATGGAAAAACAATATGCATTAAGCTGATGAAGGGTCATTAGATAAAACCAAAGTTAAGATAAGTTTCATTAGATAAAACCAAAAGCAATATAAAACCGCTATTACAATCAATAAACACCAACAAATATATATGTAAGGAATATGTGTAAACTAGTATGTAGTTAGTATTATGTATTTAGTAGGCCTTTACTTGTTAAAGTTCGTTGATGATTGTATTACTTATAAATTAAATTCATTTATAAGATTAATATTGTTAACATTAATATTGAGAAATGTAGTAAGAGAATAATTTTATGTAAGAATCTTTAACATAAGATTCGAATATAGAAATCACAATTGCATATACTTACATACATATATATTTTTATTACATTTAAGTAAATAAGGTTAAGCAAATCTAGCACACAGTTCGAAAAAATTTAAAAATATAAGAGAATTTATAAGCAAAGATGTTTTGAATAAACGAAAAAATATTTGTTTTTGGTTTTTATAAATTGAAGCATAATTTGTGTGAGTATTACTAATTACAGCTTTCAACATAATAAATTATTACATATAGAATGTCGAGGTATACCTTTTTTCAAAGTATTTAATGCTCCCCAGGCAAGGAACAAGAAATTGAATATCAATAATTTAAATTTCAATTTTAAACGGAGAAAATTTTTCAAGATCACATAATAAAAAAATATTTTTCACTTAAGTTTTATGGTACTTTGATTGTTTTTTACTTTAGTCATTTTTTAAGGTCTTAAAATTGTTTGGCATACTTAAAAAATCCTGCAAGGATATAAGGAATCCGTTTTAATGTTTAGAAGGTTTTGTTTAAAATTTTCTCATATACTTCAAAAAATGTTTACTCTTTAAATGGTGTTAAAAATATTTTAAGAAATTCTCAAACAATATTTAAAAGAAATATAAAAAATGGTTACATTGTTTTGAAGATAAGAACAGCTTTAAAAATTAACGGAGATTATAATTTAATTTAAATTCGAAAGAATTGATTTTCATTAGTGAATTTGTCAGAACAGCCTATTGTTAGCAATGGCAACTATATTATACTCGCATAGTTCCTTTCTGGTACTAAATTTAGTTTATTTCTTGTTTCTCATATAATTCTTTAAAAATATAATCTCAAAAAATTGCCTTTAATTTTTTATTTTAAAGCAGCCTTTTTTGAAGCGGTTCAAAACCATTTTTAAATGAAAATAAATATTCGTACTATTGTATTTTGTGTGCAATACGGAATTTAATGGAAAAAAAAATGCTTTGAATAATACCTATATTTGTTATTATAAAGTAAAAGCTCGACGAGAGGGTGAGTACGTAAAATGGGAGGAATATGTTGTTATGTTTATATATAATCAAAAATTCAAAAAAAATATCGAGGGGGTGCAAATATTTATTTGTAAGGATGAATGAAATTTAAGCAAAATGTATGCGAACAATAACAAATGAATTTCAGTTCTAAAAACTTTTTTTTCAGGAATAATACCAATAAGTAAAAAATATTTTTAAATTAAATTAATATGCATGTGCTTGTGTACATAAATTTTTGTATATATATATTTACGTTGCGTGAACAGTTTTTTAGTTATTTTTATTTTTTATTGCGATTCATATATATATATGTATATGTGCATTCCTTTAATATGTATATGGATAAGGTGATATCATTATTCGCAAAATTAATAATACTTTTTTTCCATTCTGCCATAATAAAGGAATTTTCAAATTTTCAGGAGACACACTCTTTAAAGATTTAGTGTTCATGCGAATCGGCTATCTAATATATACTTATGTATAGTATAAATATACATATCGGCTACATAATACATATTTGAATTATTCAATTATACGGACTAGAATGAATCCATATTGTCAAAAAAATGTCTAAATAAAATAAATAATAGCAAAGCTATGTGGGTAAAGAAACGCACTAATTTACCCCTTTAGAATTGCTTTAAAATTTGGGTTTTTGAGTTTACATGTAAATTGATGTTTCTTATTAAAATTAAAATTATATTATTCACTAAATTCTAAAAATGAAAAAATTCTAAGTACTCAAAATGAAAAAGAAAAGTAAGAAATTTTACGTATATGTGCATACATATATAAATATTTATATTAAATAAGTAATTTATTGGTATTATTATTTAGTGAACGTGTATATTCTTTTTTATCTGTTCAGAAATTGTCAAAACTTTTACCTTTTAGCTTCTTCTCTTACAATTGTTGTCATTGTGTGCTTTTTATAGTGAAATCAAATGGAAAATTGTATAAAGATCATATGCACATAATCGATGTGAAGAAGGAAAAAATATTGAGGACTACCAAAATTAAAATTTGATTCTTTGATTGATTTAACTGACTCAGGTGCTTCCTTTTACTCGCGAGTAAATGATATAAAGGAATTATATAAAGAAAAACAGAAAATAAAAAATAATCCTGTGTAATATTTTCTAAAGATTTTTTGCTTTTGACAATACACTTTGAATATTTGTTTTTTGTGTATGTTGATCTGTTTGAATAAAACGACAATGCCTTAATTTTTTTAAATAAATTTACAATAACAATTGAAAATGTTGGGGAAAAAATTCCTTTTTTTTGTTTTTTTGAATAATCAAAAAGGGACTGTTTACAATGTTTTGAGGAAAAAAGTTTTTGCTTTGATAAATATTTATGGTAGGTGAAAGTAAAGGATACCAATTGAGTAAAATACTAGAAAAAGGAAAACGTATTCCAGTAGTAAATAAAGTGAATTAAGTGAAATTTAATATTAAATGCTGGTAAAAGCGTCGAAAATTTTATAAAAGAGTAAAAACTTTTCTTAAATTTTACACTTTATTTGTTAAAATAAAATTAATTTACCTACTAATTTATTGTAGGTAATCTTGGAAATCTTTTGTAGATAAAGAACAGTTTATAAAATTTGGTTTTAATTGATAGCATATTTATTTTCTATTACATAGACTGATATATTAGTAAAAAGATAAAATTTCTGAACGGAGAGAATGTTCGGAGCTCAACAGATTATTAGATATTGGGGCTTCAAATCAATTTCAACTGTTTCTTTTAAGAAGTTTTTGATATAATTAATTTCTGTGTATATAGCTTGGTTTTACTTTATTTAGAGTTTCTTTAAACTCATTGAGATAATTTAACATTTTGATAAATTAACCATCTTTCTGCAGTATTTGTAATAGATTGAAAGTTATAGGAAAACAAATAGAGTACCGCAAAATTTGTTTTAGTCGGTTCTGTTTAGAAAGATGATTTGAAAACATTTAAGACAACTATTTCGAAATGGTTTTCTTTTTGTATGCAAAATATCAACTTAACCCTGTATGTAATAATTTTTTTTTCGTTAAAATCTATGTAATACGTTCTAATAATAAAAGTATGTTCTCATTTTTTTACTCTAAAATCAGCTGGTAATCTACTTTATTTTGTTATTTTTTAATTCAATATGAAATAAAAATTCACTTGCTTTTATGATGAATTGGCAATGTTTAAATATACAGTGAAATAAAATAAGTTTATAAAAATATTTTCAGTAGAATAATATTGGTATTTATTTTTAATATTATATACTACAGTTACATATTTTTTAGCGTATTTTAAAAATAATTACCTTAACACAGAAGAAACTCAGAAGTTAATTTTATTAAAGGAAAATGATGGCATAATACGATAAGCAATGATCTGAGTTAATGTATGTATATGTATATATTAGTTGTAGCTCAGTTGGTAGAGCGTCCGCCTAGAAAACGGTAGGTTACTGGTTCGAGTCCAGTTCGAGGAGAAAAATTTTTTAATTAATTTTTCTGCCTTTAACTCGTTCCTTTGATTACGTCATCCATCTGTTCTGCAGTTGCATGAAAAAATTTCCATTAAGTTAAAATTATTAGTGTAATAAGCACATTACTTATTAATTTCACAATTATGATGTTGTATTGTTGGTCAAATACAATTCATGCAGTGATTGTCTGTCTAAAAGTCCATAGGGCAACCTATAAATCTGTAAATATATTTCGTGAAACTCTCGCATTCTGATATTGAAAATGGTAGATTTCCTTAAATATAAATGAAATGGCGTATAACAGTAAATTTATAGTATTGTTTGATATACATATATATAAGTACTTTTGTATATGTATATAAAAATGTTGTTTTTAATTAAATTCAATCTGCTTAGTTTAAATTAATAAATTGGATAAAGAAATCCTAATAATATGTACATTCGTTAGATAGATAACAAATTCTTCATAACAATTACACGAAAAACTATTCTAATCTTGATTAATAATGATGGATAAATGTGCAGCTGCCTTTTAAAATTTTTGAAATCTTTAATTATATAGTTTGTATTATTTTAAAATAATGATTTAAAAATTATACAATAACTTTTCACTTTAATTTTGTCAATTTAAAACTTTTATCATTTCATAAAATTTAATAGATGTTATTTTAATACAAGATTCACTAAAAAGTGTGGATAAAGTCAACAAGTTTTGCACGAGAACCATTACGGTAAAAAAAAAATGAATTTTTTTCTTTTATTTCATTTGACTTTATTTTAATAAATATTTATACGGAATTTACATTTTTCATAAAAGTTTTAATATATACCTACATACATATGTATATGTATGTATATGGGTTATTTTTATACCCGTACGAACGTATGTTCGAAGGGTATACTAAATTTGCCTTACCGTTTGTAACGCTAAGAAATAACGGTGTTAGATATAGACTCAAGTGTATGTTTTTGATCAGCGTCAAATTCTGAGTTGATTTAGCTTTGTCTGTCCGTCCGTCCGTCCCAACGATAACTCAAAAACTAATAGAGCTAAGTTCAACAAATTTTCACAAATGATTTATTGTAGTAAGTGCCAGAACCCTATTTAAATTGGACATGATCGGGGTACCGGTTCGGGTAGCTGCCATACAACTTCAAAATTTATTTGGCTATATCTCAGAAACTATAAAAGTTGTGGTATTGAAATTTCACACAAACGAATATATTAGTGGGGCCAACGTGTCTCATAAAAGTTGTTGAAATTACTTGGCTCCTTCTGGTACCTGCCATACAACTTCAAAAGTTATTTGGCTATATCTTAGAAACTATAAAAGCTGTGATATTGAGATTTCACACAAGTGAATATATTAGTAGGGCCGATGTGCTTGATAAAATTCGCTAAAATTCCTTGGCTCTTTCTGGTAGCTGCCATACAACTTCAATAGTAGTTTGGCACAACCAGTATTTTGAAAAACACATAGTACTGAAATTTTGCATAAATTAGTATGGTAATACGGCAACTTAAAGTCATAGTCTGCCCTATAGTTAGTTAAGGCACATTAATTATTCGCACATAGGATAACAAATTCGTACGGGTATCACAGAGTTGACAAGGTCAACTCTATTTTTTTTCTCGTTATATTTGTATTTCATGTTAAATCTACAGGAGGGAATATAAAATTATACTTTAACCCCGCTTTTACTCTAATTACAGGTGTGAAGTATATAATATTAACACGTAGATATTCTTCTGTACATATATACATATATATATATATATATACATATGTACAAAATATGTAGTGTCACACGTATTACTTAGTTAATTTTCAAATTTTTCCATATTTTCATAACTTTTTCCCATCTTTTCTTTTTTATTTTTTTAAAGACAATGCATTTTATAAATATACCGCTTTTTTTTGTTAAAAAAAAATTAAAAGACTTTTAATGCTTTAATAAAGTTTTCCTCTTCTTCTTTTATCTTGAACGCAAAAAATAAATGATTTCATTATAAAATTATACTATAGAGATTTTCATAGAATGAGACAAGGAAAAACAATGCCATAAAAAACAATCAATAATGCCGTGTTCATTCAATTCGTCTTAGTGAACATTCATGAAAAATATTGCGTAAGTAACATTTTGCATGTTTTTATGGCAATACTATTTTATTTATAAAACGTTGTAATATAAAAAAAACTGCTAAAAAACACATTGCTGTGATCCTAATAGAGAGGAACTGGTTGGTATTTTATTGTAGTTTAAATTTAAAGCAAAGCTTCAAAAATCACTAAATTTTTTCATTATAACTTTCTCATCAATTTTTCTTTTAAAATTCTTTTTCTTACAAACGAAAGTAGTTTTCTAATCAATTTACAAATGTTTAATGGTGACTGGATCAATAGCGTAAGAATGGATAAGGTACCCACATCCATTCATTTTTATATGCATATATGTATATAGATTGGTAATTGAAAACGCAATTTTAAATGAATTTTAAAACTAAATCAATCATTTTTTAAGAATCTACCCAATGTAGACAATTTCTTGATTTTATTATTTTCAATGTCATTCGTGTCCCTTCCTGATCAAATAATAAGATTTATTAACACTACTTATACTGAATAAACGGTAACACAGTAAAAATAATTCATTAATGATAACAAATGAACTGTGAATAAAATTTTTTTTCTTTGTTTTTCATATTATTATCGCAGCCTTTTTTTTCGTTTTGTTAAATTTTTTACCTTATAATTTTCATTTAGATTTTTTAGTAGGAATTAGAAAAAAAATTAGAAAAAATTTTTATATTTTGGCGGTGGAAATAATTGAGAAAAGGCGAATAAAAGAAAAACCAAAATAAAATGAATACTATTGCAGGCAATTAATGAATAGTTGAATTCATTTTAACAGAATCTAACACGCTCCTAAGCTTATTTAATGTGAGTATATTTTTAATATACAAAATTTTAAAATTTTCAAAAAGTTTTTGTTTTTTGCCAAGGTCGTGCAAAATTTTAAAAAATTTTCAAAAAATTTTTGTTTTTTTTGCCAAAGTCGTTTTGACATTTTTGTTTTTTTTGCCATGGTAGGCGGGTCGTGCAAAATTTTTTCTCTTTTCCAAGGTAGGAGGTCGTGCAAAATTTTAAAAAATTTTTAAAAATTTTTTGTTGTTTTGGCAAGGTCGTGCAAAATTTTAAAAAATTTTCAAAACATTTTTATTTTTTTACCAAGGGAGGGGGTCGAGCAAAATTTTTTTTAACAAGGTAGGTGTAAATCTATAGAAGAATTTAATTAACCTTTTAACAAAAAAAAACTATTCCTATAATATTAATTTATTGTTTTTTTAAATTGGAGTATCTGCATTGTATCCTGAGCTCATATTACACCTGAACATTTAAAAACAATATAAACGAGAAAAAAAATAGAGTTGACCTTGTCAACTCTGTGATACCCGTACGAATTTGTTATCCTATGTGCAAATAAAGATGCCATAACTGACTATGCGACAGACGATGACTTTAAGTTGCCGTATTACCATATTAATGTATGCAAAATTTCAGTACTATGTGTTTTTCAAAATACTGTGTGTGCCAAACTACTATTTAAGTTGTATGGCAGGTACCAGAAGGAGCCAAGTAATTTCAACGATTCTTATCATACACATTGGCCCTACTAATATATTTGTTTGTGTGCAATTTCAATACCACAACTTTTATAGTTTCTGAGATATAGCCAAATAAATTTTGAAGTTGTATGGCAGGTACCAGAAGGAGCCAAGCAATTTCAACGACTTTTATTAAACACATTGGCCCTACTGGTATATTCGTTTGTGTGAAATTTCAATACCATAGCTTATATAGTTTCTGAGATACAGCCAAATAACTCTTGAAGTTGTATGGCAGGTACCAGAAGGAGCCAAGTAATTTCAACGACTTTTATGAGACACATTGGCCCTACTAATATATTCGTTTGTGTGAAATTTCAATACCACAGCTTTTATAGTTTCTGAGATATAGCAAAATAAATTTTTAAGTTGTATGGCAGCTACCCGAACCGGTGCCCCGATCATGTTCAATTTAAATAGGGTTCTGGCACTTACTAAAATAAATCATATGTGAAAATTTGGTGAACTTAGCTCAATTAGTTTTTGAGTTATCGTTGGGACGGACGGACGGACGGACGGACAGACAAAGCTAAATCAACTCAGAATTTGACGCTGATCAAAAACATACACTTGAGTCTATATCTAAGACCGTTATTTCTTAGCGTTACAAACGGTAAGGCAAATTTAGTATACCCTTCGAACATACGTTCGTACGGGTATAAAAATTGTTCAAAAGGATTTTTATATATAAAAATTACGCCTGGGCAACATTACGAGTATCAAAATTTATTCCTAAATTAAATAATAAAAGGCAAACAAATTTCAATACAAGTAAAAAAAAAATATTGGACCTTATGTACAAACTTGAGTAAAGAGCGGGAATTTATGCATGTTCGCATAAAGTTTTAAAATTATTGAATCTAGCTTGTTATTTAAAAGTTTTACTTAAGTGTTATTATTTGTTTATTTTAAATCACAATTTTCTCAGTATTCTACAATATTTTAGTTGTAATTATTTTGCGTTAGTTTTACGAAATCATTTCATTCCTGTCTTATTTGAAACTGGGCCATTTTATTAATCTAGGTAGTAGTCTTATATTATTTGATAAGAATTTGAATACCAGGCTGATATATTTTGTACAGGTTTATTGTACTAATACAGGAATGATAGCACAGGTTTATTGAGCAAATAATTGAATTATATTAATTTAAGTTAAAACTTCACAATTTTCAAAAACATTCCTTGAAAATAAAGCATGATAAATTAATAAGAGTCAATAACTTTTGAAAAATTTTTATAATTTGACACACTCATTAAAATTGTGTAACTGTTATAACGTTACATCCTTTATTACACTGTAAATTTAACAGAAAAATTTTCAGAATTATTTTAGTTGAGCATTGTTTGCTTTTGTTTTTAATTTTTTTACTTTACAAATAAGTTAAGTGTAATTTTGAACAAATTACTAGGAAATTTTGTTATGATAAGGTAATTGAGAGAGCATGAAAAAATGTCCCCAAAGTTTCTAATAAGCAACAAAAACAAAAAAAAAATTAAATAAAAAAGGAAAAATTTTAAGTAAAAATACAAACAAAAAACTCTTTTTTCATC